CAGTGTTCTGTGACAAGACCGTTTGGACTTCTTGGGGCACCTAAAACAACAAATAATGATAAAAAAATAAAATAGACAAATCAAATATCCAGGAAAAAAAGTCGAGGCTTATAACAACAACCTGTTGTCTATCACCCCTGCAAAGGTGACAGAGAGAATTATCAAAGATAGTATTATGAAATACTGTAGACAATCTAATTTCATAATCTCAACAACCTGATTGAATCCCGTAATATTTGGTTGGGATTGGTTTATCGTGGATGTCTAGTTGAAAAAGTTTTTACCGTCTTTGCCGAAGCTTTTTTTACGAACCGTTGGAATAAATTAGCGCAGTATGTCGGAAAAGATGGGGTACAGTGGATCGGGTGGCACAGCTAATATGAGGCATTTTCTCAAAGATTTGAATTTTGTTCATCTTGATAATGTAATCATTTTATGTGCTCATATATCAGGTATCTTTATTTATAGTTGCTACCATATTATTTTTGACTACCGGTTTTTGGTAGGTAATTTTTGTTTTTAGCTAACTAAAGTAAATTTTCTTACCTTCCTTATGTTTGTTATGGAGATCATGGTTGAAGAAATTTTAAAAGTTGAAGTTTTTTATTCGAATGATTGATATTTATACTTTCTTTTAGTAGTTTAGTTTTTCCTTTAACACAATCATGTACCAAGAAATTAGACTTAAACTTAATTTGTTATGGTGGGGCACAGTGAATCGGGGTACAGTGAAAAGGTTGATACACTATGCCCCATTAACGATCTTAAAGATTAAATTTTTAACCAACTAAATGAAAATGAATTTATTAGTTTTGAGTTAAGAATGATAATATTTGAATAAGTTTTTAAATTGTTGATATTTTTATAAGTTTTGTTATCAATAAAATTGTTTTTTTTTCTTCTCGATTTTTAAAATGTCTCTTTTTTATATTTTATACTAATCTAATTAATAAAAGTATGGAAAAACTATAGTGTACAGTGTCTTTACTCCCTCAGCCTCATAGTTGTTTGGGTATGGCCATACTCACTATCATTAATTCACAGCTGTATTCATTGATTCACTGTGTCCCAGTACTGGGGCAAAGTGAATAACGTAACACAATTTACTTTAAACCTTTCTGTGAGCCGTTAAATAATAAATATTTGGGTTTTAGTAATTTATTATCATGATAGACATTTATCTCAATTCTTTCACCTTGAAAAAAACAAAATACACATTTAAACTTCCCAGTGGGCACGGACGTTAAAAAGATGTCTTTTAAACGTCTTGTGCGCGTTTTGGACGTCTTTTGAACGTTCAAAAGTCATATTTTTTTGGTCCGGTGTCCACTGGGTTTTGCTCAATTTAAAAAAATAAAGAAATCCAATCCACTGTCCTCCAACTTCCCCTAGTTGATGCAGTCTCACTAGACGGAAGGTTTACTTTTGGAAACCAGACGGTAAGCTCAGATTCCCGCTATAAAACTAAAAAAAGGTTTAAAGATTATTTTCCAATCTATCTACAAATTTGATTTAATAAAAGATTACAAGAGCGTTTATCGGACACTCATGTTGAAAATAATATAAATACATCTCTATCGTATGTTTACACAACAATAATTTTAGCTTTTTTTGCTTTTAAAAGAGCAAAAAAAATGAGTATTTTTAACATTAATTTAAAAAAATCAGTCTATTAAACTTAATCAGTGAATGTTAATTGTGTAAATATTATTTAGTTCTGATGCAGTTCCTGAAAATATAGAATAAAGTAGTTAGAAATAGAAACACGATGATTAAGTTGTACAATTGTACATTCTTTTAATTGAAATTCCTTTTAGTATGCAAGCCTAGGTAATTTTCATTAAACTTAATACGTTTATTTTAATTTTTTAAATAACTTAAGACTCTGAGCAGTAAAATTTTGCTCTTTTTTGTTTGTGAAATTTAGCGTTACGTAATTTATGGACGATCCCTTAGGGTCAGTTAAGGGCACCTAATTGCTACATGCCCCGGGCGTCATTAAAGTTTTTGGTGACCCTGCCACCTTACGCTACCTTAACTTTATATTTTCTTCCCCAGTAGGCACGGACGTAAAAAAGACGTCTTTCAAACGTCTTAGACACGTTTTAGACGTCTTTTGAACGTTTTGGACGTTTTTGAACGATCAAAAGACGTCTTTTTTAGGTCCGGTGTCCATTGGGTTGTTACCATTTTTTATATTTATTTATTTTTTTTCCAGTTCATTTACTTTTTTTCTAGAATGTCTCTCGTGACTGTTAAACTTTCTTTGATAACTTTATTGACATTTTCTAAGACTTTATTACGTTCACATATTTACAATTTGGCTTTAAACTTTCCATTTTTCTTTCCTAACAATTATTAATTCCTAACATTCCTTAAGGTAGCAGATCCCCTTAAAACAAAGTTGCTTAAACTAATGCTATTAAACACCAATTGCAATTAGGTTTTATTTGATATCAGTTAAACTTATTTTTTTAGTTAAAAATTTTGAAAAAAAAATGTAATTAAGGACTAATTAGACAACTAAGCAGCCATTTTAACAAATTTTCAAACGTGATTACACAAGTTTTACAAATGCTCTGGACTTCAAATTTTCAGGATATGTTAGTAGTACTATTAACTAGGGTTTCTACCACTTTTGTGTAAAAGTTATAAATTCTTTAAAAGATAATCAATTTTTTCAAAAATTATTAAAATGAAGTACACAAAAAAATATATATATATACTTAAATTGAAAATTGAACTTTCATTGAGATACTAACCCTAGATAACATAACAAGGAACATTTGCTGAAAATTTCAAATCAAAATCTATAATAGAAGTTGAGAATGAGTCGAAAAGTATTAAAAAAATAAAACACAAGAAAAATGCTCCTAAAGATTTTGTAATTAAAAAATAATAAATTTTTTATCATTCTAAAAAGCACCAGCAGAATATGATGCTCTTTCTTCATTTTCTTTATCTATGAATCTTTGTTTCATAGGTCTTAGTAACTTTCTTCTGTTAATACCTGCTGTTGAAGTCTTTTTTGTCATATAACCTATTCGAGTCTTATTTTTTTTAATGGTCCCTATGTCCATAAATCGACCGGTCTTTATCTGTAGTTTTTGAAAAACTTCATATATCCTACTAGCTCCATCATTAAACTCTAAAACAGCAGATGCTACAGCTCTTTCAAGAATACTTCGACTTACATAAACATCTTTAGGACATTTTTTCCAAATGAAATTGTTAATTGCTTCATTATTATTTTGTGTCTGTCCATGCAAACATTTAGATAATAATTCATCTCTGCTCAAGTCTTGAAAGATGGGTTTTAAAATTTCATTTATTGCTAATGGAAAATTTAATTTAGCTTTGTAAGTTGATTTACCTGTTAGTTTATTTGACTGCCACATGCACCAGCTATTTACGTTTCAAGGACAAAATTTATGTTGTTCAGTTTCATCAAGAATATCTGAGTTATGGAAAAGTGTTGCCCAAATACCCTTTTTCATTTCATAAATGCTGTTAAGATTTTGCCTTATGGCAGTACCATAATAATTCTGTAAAGTATTTATAGCTTTATCAGTTAATTGTCCTTTACCCATTATTTTTCCCCCATCCGACAATACATTTAATTTCATTAATTGGTGTAAGTTTCGCAGTTGTGTTCCCATACGCTTTTGAACATGTCCGACACATTCTTTTTTATTAATAGTAACATTAGGTCCATATGGTTGAGATTTGTTAACATCATTGTATGAAGATGTATTTCCATCTCCTATATAAGATGTATACCTTAGTTTATACTTCTCCACAGATCGTCCAAACATTTCAATAGCACCCACAGATTCCATTGATCCTGATGATTTTATATGGTTAATGAGACAAATGTGATTATTTTGCCAGTTATTATAACTAGGTTCATTTTTTCTTTTGTTCCAATATTCACAACCTTTACATTGTTTTGATAAAACAAAATGGTCAACACATTTTTGATTATTTGTTGATATCAAAGTAACAACACCATTTATGGATGTGTGACCTCTTTTTTGCCATGTTCCATCAACAGAAACATGGCAATCAACAATATTTGTGTTATCATTGATGACATCCATCAAAAAAATATCATGTGTCTCTTTTTCAGCCTTTGACATGGAAGTATTAGCTGCTTCGACATAAGCACTGTAAAGTAATTTTGTTATTTTACCATAGTTTTTTTTTGTCATCGGTCTTGGCATATTCATGCAACGATTAAATGATTCTATGGAAGTATATCCTTTTCCTATTTCTCTAAAAGCAAGAACAACTTGTGTATTAACTTCTGCACTTCTTTTAATTATTGCTGAAGTTTTAAATGTGTCTATAATTTTATCACAGCTTTCACAAAAAATTTCAAATTGTAAACAAAATTTTTTTGTTTACAATTTGTTTATCATGCAAAGTAATTTTATTTCCACATTCAGGATAAAAAACATACTTACTAAATATTTTTTTTAATATAGAAAAGTTCATAATAAAGTTATAATTGTTCTTGTAATCTTCATTGTTACACTCAATATTTTGAGTAGTTTTCGTTTTCGAAAATAACTTTTTTGCACTTGTACAACTTGCAATTGGCGATGAAGGTAAACTATTTTTTTGTTTATCATTGCATGTGTTCTGATTTCCTTTAAACTTGTATTTACGTTTTCTAATCGTACTGCGAGTCATTTTTTTTGTTTAAAAGTTGCAAACAAATTTGAAGTAAAAGTGGCTTTTAGAAGCTTTCAAATATAGTCAAAGCTGTGATTCTAATTTGTAATGTTCAAGCTGTGGAGTTTATCCTAAAGTTGTTTCGAGCACTGGTACAAACATTAGGCAAACAAGATTCTTTTAAGACTGAAGTTTCCTCCAAAAAGCTGATTTAATCAGCTTTTTGGAGGATACTTATAAACAAGTAATAGAAACTAAAACTAAAACTGTAAATAGAAAAAACTGTAAAACTGTAATAGAAAAAAAATATATATGAAGTAATAATTAACAATGACAAATTATGTAATTTCTATACAAATATATCTTCTTTAAAACTATTTCACAAGCCTCATAATTTCATACAACCATTTGTACATAAAAGGTTTAAGTCTACTTCAATTGCTACTGCAAAGAAAAAAACGATATACAAGCACTGTAAAAAAACAGGTAGACCTAGAAAACTATGTTCTAAGGATGAATTCTTGCTTGTTTTAATGAAGTTGAGATTAGGAAGCCTACATCAAGATTTGGCTGTAGGATTTAGTATTGGAGTATCAACTTGTTCTGAGATTTTTCGATCATGGATAAGAGCAATGGCTAAATCATTAACTTGTGTTATTTTTACTCTTGATTAAGAAATTATGCGTGCTATTACACCTGTAAGATTTGTGGCGTGCTATTACACCTGTAAGATTTGGCACCATGGCATGAACAAAATACTTCCATATCTGGTGAAGCACTAATAAAGGGGTGTGTTTTAAGAATAGTCATTCCAGGATTAGCAAAAGTAGCATTTTTATGTGATTTTTTAATTAAATGTTTATATTTAATTTTTTCATGTACTTCTTGAGCAATTCCATACTTCATTGAAAATGTTTGAAAACTTTCCGACTCTCCTAATATGATGTTTGATATGGAAGTAGTACAAATATTGTACTACTTCCATATCAAATATACTTGCTTAAAGTTTGAAGAAGTCATTCTACACTTACGATGGATTATCCAATCTCTAAACTGAGATTGCAATATAGTTTTCTCGTAAATATATTTAATTTGTTCATCAGTTAGGTGAAGGCAACTTACTAATTTTTCAACAACCAAGTTTATATTTTCTTTAGCTGAAAATGATGGATTTTTTTTAAATTCCTCAACAGCTTCTTTTATTGAATCAACATATACAGTATTTTTATTTATTTCAGAAGAAAGCTTTTTACTAACCATTACTTCTGCAAAACAGCTTTGAGGTATAAGATCCTTTATTTCATTAAAAAGATTTTTTCTTGTATTCTCTTTGTTTTTCAGGGAGGCTTCATTTTCTTTACAAAATGGAACTTACTCAAGACTCTTTTTCACAATATCTTTGCATTGATTTAAATTTCTTTTTAAAACTTTTTTTTTGTAATGGTCTGCACTAACATCAAAATTAGTCAAATTAGTTTTCCTGGTTCGATTTTTTTCTTTTTAGAAGGAATGCTCCACTCTGCAAGTTTTTGAGTGCAAGTGAGTTGTGTAAACCCCGATAATACTGCAGCTTCTATACGAAATAGCATACCAGCTACATGACTACAAATTCCTGTAAAAAAATAAATTTAAATAAAATTTTTTTACAAGAAAATTAAACACAAACCCAACATAATCAAAACTAATAAAATTTAACAACAACGAAAAAAAAAAAGAAATATAAAAAGCTTAGACATGAAAGTATTATAATTAATTAAAGTAGGATAATATACCTAATAATCCAGCAACGCAAGTACAATAGCTTGCAATAATAGTTCCCCCAGGTTGAACATTTGCATCCTTCTCAACAATCGCCCAAACATCATAAGATTTCGCATTAACTCTCTGGGAGGGAACACATTTTGTTTTAAACAGACAATATATGGACTCACAACCAACACTGTGGATAAAAATTTCCCCAATAAAATTATTTAAATAGTATCTATAAGCTTTTCCTTCCTTGTATTCACTTTCTAATTTTCTACATAGCTTTTCTTGTCTACTGACTTTTAAAAAGTATTTTTCTATGTCCATAAAAAACAGACTGGGCCAAGATTTCATGCCTTCTTCTTCGCCACACCAACCAATTTTTAATGAAAAAGGGTCGGGAAAATTGCAGGACAAAAATTTTTCAGTATAAACATCAAGCAGTAATCGCTCTGTGTGCTCACAATCAACATCAACTTCACAACCTTCTTCATATGCACTAAAGGCTCTAAAGTTAAAAACAAACATACTTTTAAACTACATTTTAAAATGTTATATGTTTTAATTAAGATTATTTTCATACAAAATATATATAATTTTTTGGTACGTTAACAAAATAGAAAATAATACAAAAACTTTACCTAGCAACTAAAGTTTCAAATGAACCTGTGGTAGCTTTTTTCCTAATCTTCAAAAAACTTTTTAGTGCTGTTGTACTGTAAATCTTAAAATCATTGATAGTTAAAAACTCTAAAGTTAAATGCGATTTTGCCATAATTAGTATGAATCGCAAAAAGTGTTACTTTTAAGATAAATTCTGTTCTAAATTCAACGCAATGGTTAATTGTGAGTTTTGTTTTCATATTAAGATTTTTATAAAAACGGGGGTATGCTGAGATGTTAATAATACTGAAACAAATGTATTAATGTTAGGCGCAACTGTATTTGTACTTTATATACTAAATTATTATATTTTGTAAATATACTTTTTTTTTGAAGAAAAAAAAAATACACTTTTAAAGATTTAGAGAAAAACAAGCTGTTGTTATACGCCAGGAAAGTAATTTCAGGAGGTTAGAAACCAAGTAATGCTTCACCGTTTATTGTACTTCAAAGCATATTCAATCCCCTGATATTTTAAACTTTTTTTGACGTTTACTCGAAAAAATATATTCCGTGAAGTTCGGCAAACTCAGAGTTAGCGAAATCGTGTATTAACCATTTTCAAATAGCGTATTTATCTGTGTACATGTCAAATATAACTTAAAACTAAATTATTATTTTATCTCTCAGATGTTCATTAATATCATTTTGCATATGTTTTTTGTAACTTTTCAGACTTATAATCTATAATATGTTTCTTTATCATTTAAGTCACGGAATAACCATCTGTCGGCGCTCTATTTAAATCGTAGCCAGTTTTTTTCACTTTTTTTTGAAAGCGATAAATTTATTTAAAAATCAAAATCAAAATTATAAAAAAAAAAATTTCGTTAATATTCACTGATCCTCGTGCATAAATTATAAATATGCTTTGAATTAGGCGATCCAGATCTGGATTATCACTGCGCAGATTTAAGGTCAGCGCAGCCGCTATTACTTATTTTAATACAGCCGCTATTACTTATTTTAATACTTGTTTTAATATATTCATTTCCAAGGAAACCCAGCAAGCTTATTAAGATTTAAGAAATCAACGTTATTTTAACACAAGTTTAACTTATGTTGAAATAATGTTATGTTTTAACGTTATGTTTATATCACAACGTTATTTCAACATAAGTTTAACTTATGTTGAAGTAACGTTATGTTGAAAACATCAAAGTTATTTCAACGTTATTTTTATTTCATTTTTCTTTTTTTATTCGTAGAGAATGAATTAAAATTTCCCGACGCATATGTAATGATGATTCGGTATCGGTCCTAAATTTATAAAAACATTAAATATTGCATTACGATTTTTGCGTGGAAAAGTTTTTTAAAAATTCTTAATGAAAGTATTAATGTAATATGAGTAAAAATATTAAAAGATTTTTTTGTTATGAAAATATGCGTAAAGTATTATCTATTGTTGAAGTCAAAATCAAAAATAATCGTTTCTGCTTATTGGGGCAAGATTGAAAAGTCTTGTTTTTCAAAAGGAATGACCTTTGTATACTAAATTGGAAATTCGAAAAAAAATAAAAAAGTTTAGAAGAGGGCAAAAATACCTTACATACTACGTATAAATATCTATGTAATTTTGAGAAATATAAATATCTATTTAATTTTGAGAAAAGACATTGTTTGTAGACTTCTAAATTTTTAGTTATAGGCAATTGAAACTTATGTCATGGAAGGAATGATAGGTTCTTCCGTGACACAAATTTTGGCTTTAACAAAAAATAATTAATATTCCAAATGCAATATCTTTACATGAAATTAAATAGATCTTTATAGGTAGCAAGTTACGTATTATTGCCCCCTTCTAAACGTTTTTATTAATTTTTAAATTTCCAATTTAGTTTCCAATTTTAATTTTTCAAAGGCCGTTCCTTTTGAAAAAAAAGACTTTTCAATCCTGGCCTAAATCCTTGAATAACGAGAGTATACCCTCGTTATTCAAATAATATAAAAAAAACCCGTTAAAAACACAAATAAACAAATAATAAAACTTCAATGTATCGTGTTCTTGCGTCTTAAATAAGATTATGTATATATACATAACCCCTAGAATATATATTATTATGTATATATACATAACCCCTTATGTATATATACATAATAATAAGATTATGTATATACATAATAATAAGATTATGTATATATACATAACCCCTAGAAGATTATGTATATATATACATAACCCCTTGCGTCTTAAATAAGGTTATGTATATATACATAACCCCTAGAAATATTGTATTTTATTATAAAGAATTATATAAGGATAAGTTTACATACTATAACAGATGTTTTAACTTAATTGAGTAAGTAAGTATATTTTTTTGTACGGATAAATCTCTCTAAATTAATTTCAAATATTTAAGTTTATTAAAAACATCTAATATTGTAAGACGAAAATTATAATTGAAGTTTGAATAAGAGTTTGAATTTATCCTGACATGTCTGTTGAACGAAACTTAACTACTTGTTGTATTGGAAAGTTTGACGGAAGTTTATGTCATTTAAGTATTCACGAAAAAAGGATTATATTAATTTTTGCTTAGAACTTTCGAACGAAGAACAGAGTTTAATTATCAGGCGAACTTATAATTTGATTAAAAATATTACTTTAATTTGTTTCCACGACAAGTCACTGGTGTTGGTTAAATACAATCATTTGCAACGCTATTGTATGAAACCTTTTGGTATGGCCAATCCTTGCTCAGTTAAAGAGTTGAGATGTATTGACCTAGAGACTGCAGACTGTCTTTCAAAGTTAACAAATAAAGTTATTTGTCCTAGTCAAAAGTTGTGTCAAAATTGTCGCAAAGCTTATTCAACCACAAAGTTTTCAAGTAAAATTTGACAATATTGATGACATAGATGATATATTCTGTTCAACTAACACAATTAATAATAGTCTTTCTGAGATCGGAATATCACCTTTAAGGAAACGTGTTAGTAAGAGAGATCATGCTAGTTATGTAAAAGGTAAAATTCAGAAAGTGCAAACAACAGTTGCAAAAGAAATTGCTGTTGTTAGTGGTTTATCACCAAATAATAATGCCCTACCACTAGGCAGTGCAAGTGTAGAGAGTGAGAATTGTATTGACTGGTCAGATTTGATACTAGAATTGAAGGATAAAATATCAACAATTAGTAATCCACGTGAAAAAGTTCAAATTTTAACTCTGATACCAAACAGTTGGTCAAGAATAAAAATATGTAGTGAATTTAAAGTATCAGAGAGAAATGGCTAAAGCAGCAAAAAAGTTGAAGGCGAAAAATGGAATATTAGCACTTCCAGAAAGAAATGCAGAAAAAAATTGCCAGAACATAATATAGAAAAAATTTGAAATTTTACGAACACGAAGCTTTTAGCAGAAAATGTTCAGGGAAAAAGGATTTTGTATCTGTGCGCATTGGTGCTAAAAAAATGCACATGCAAAAGAAATTACTGTTAGTTAATTTAAAGGAACTTTTTTTAGAGTATAAAAAAGAAAATGGGGCTGAAGTTGGATTTTCTAAATTCAGTGAGTTACGTCCAAAATGGTGTATAACTGTTAGATCGTCAGTTACTCATCGTATTTGTGCATGGACTATTCACCAGAACATAAAATTAATGCTTGCAAGTAGCCCAGTTACGGTAGACTATAAATGTCAGATTGAAAAAATAGTTTGTGACATTGAATCCAAAGAATGTATGCTTCATCGATGCAATAAATGTCCAGCGACTGAAATTTTAAAAGTTTATCTTGAAGAGCAGTTTCAAGACTTTGATAAAACAATAACATTCAAGCAATAAATAAAAGTAGATTGTGAAACTTTAGAATCTTAGCAATTACCCGTAGAAGACTTTATTAATGAACTAATTTCAAAAGTATCTGTTTTATCTAAGCATCATTTTATTGCCAAAAATCAAAACAACTATTTGCGATTATTGAAAAATGAATTGAATTCAAATGATAATTTTGCTGGATTTTTCTGAAAACTATTTGTTTGTTGTACAAGATGCTGTTCAAGGGTTTTACTGGGAAAACAGCCAAACAACTTTGCATCCTTTTGTTGTCTACTATAAACTTAATGACATACTTAAAAGTGCATGTTATTGTGTTAGAAGTGATTGCATGCATTATGATACTATTTCTGTTTATGTATTTCTTAGTAAATTAATAGCTAAATTTATTTCTCTTTTGAATTTAGAAACACAAAAAAAAAATAATAAAAAAGGTCCTCAATATTTGCAATTTGCCAACTATAGTTCAAAATGCCAACTCGAATGCTTAAATAACAGCTTGGGGGGTGGGGGGACACCCGACACCCCCCTCACTTTGGGACGGCCTTGGCACAGTATATAAACTTTAAAAATTTTATGAATTTATGTTACCATTACACTGACTATGGCATTAAAGTAGAGTGGAATTTCTTTGCTACTAGTCATGGAAAATCTCCCTGTGATGGAATTGGAGGAACTGTAAAGCGTTTAGCAATTAATGATCAAATTTTAACGCCTTTTAGTTTATATGATTTTTGCAAAGAAAGTGTCACTGGTATTTCATTTATTTTTGTTGCCAGTGACGAAGTAGACAGTGTAAAAAGCATTCAAGAGAAACGATTTAGTACTGGAAACACAGTTGCTGGTGATAACCACAAATTTGTACCTGTGAATGAAAATCAGGTTTGTACCAGTCGTATTTCAAATGACAACACATCTTTTATAGCAAACATTAATGAAAGTTACAATAACAACTCAATTAAATTAGCTTCACTGTTTGATCTTAGTTCTGGAAATTTTGTTACATGTATTTACGATGCACATTGGTGGATTGGAAATGTTTGTGAATTTTCAAAAAAATAGGAAAGTGTTTTCATTAATTTTATGCATCCTTATGGTATTTCATTAATTTTATGCATCCTTATGGCTTTTTGCTCAAGAACGCTGAAGTGTACGCACGTGTTTGTTTTTCTTTTCAACTGCTTGAAGAAATAAAAATTCAAAACTTATTATTATAAAATTACAGATAATAATTATGAGTAAAAATAAAAATACTGAAGAAATTATTAAAAAAATGCTTGAAGAGCAGAAAAATATTATATTAATGGAGACCGAAAGACTTCTCAAAGAACAAGAAAAAAACTTCGCAAAAATAACAAGCGCAAATATGAAGATTTTTACTGAAAGGTTGGATAAATTAGAACTCGATCTATCTACAAACAAAATAAAAACTTCTAATATCGAAAAGGACGTAGAAGAAATAAAAGAGAGTCTTAACTTCCAAGAAGAGTTAACTAAACAAAAGATTGCAGAAATAAATAAACGGACAGAAAGTGAAATTAAACATCTTTATGAGCAGAAACGTTTTGAATCTATAAAAGAAACAAATGCCATTAAAAACATAAGTGAGAAACTGGTTGATCTCGAAAATCGTTCACGAAGAAACAACCTGAGGATTGAAGGTGTAAATGAATTACCTGGTGAAACCTGGAATGACTGTGAAAAAATTGTGAAAGATATTTTTTCAAAAAAATTAAAAATCCCGAACGAAATAATAATTGAACGAGCTCATCGTTCAGGTCCAAAAAAAGTAGGCAAACACCGAACAATCTTCATAAAACTGTTAAATTACAACGATAAAAAAAGAATTCTTTTTAATAGTAAAAATTTACGTAGAACTGGTATTTTTATCAACGAAGATTTTGCTAAAGAAACAATCGAAACGCGAAAAAGACTCTGGGGTGAAGTATTAAACTTACGTAAAGAAGGTAAGTATGCTATTTTAAAGTTCGATAAGATCTATTGCAGAGAACTCAACAAATAAGTTTTTATCAAAAGAAACCCTTCTATAGATACACTTGTTAAAGATGACCGGCATTAATAATTTTGAAAACCAAATCTTTAATTTTTCTAAAATAGATTGCATCTCAAATGAATTCTCAGATCCCGACACTAACTATTATTGTGATTTGCTCAGTGATTGTTCATATTATTATCCAAGTGAATTAGCAGAGTTTCTTTTGAACGATAATGTAAAAGCAAGCGATAAAATTAAAATTCTTCACGTAAATATTAGAAGCTTAAATCGCAATTTTGAAAATCTACTTAATTTATTAGAAGAAACTAAAAATATTTTTGATATACTTTCAAAGTAAATTCTGTTAAGCAAAGTAACTTTGCTTAACAGAAACATGGATAACTATAAATGACCTAAAAAATAGTTCAAATTTTAACCTTCCTCATTTTAAATTAATATCTCAAGATAGGCAAACAAATAAACGCGGCGGTGGAATTTTTATTTACGTGAAAAAGAACATAATGCATTACGTTAGGAATGATTTGAGTGTTTCTGACGAGAATAAAGAAATTTTAACGATTGAAATTGTAAACAATCAAACAAAAAACATTCTATTAAGCTGCTGTTATCGACCACCTGATGGTCTGGGCAAAAATTTGAGCATTTTTTTTGAACAAAACATATTCAAAAAAAGAACAATAGAAAAAAAAAAAGTTTTTGTTATTGGAGACTTCAATATGAATACTTTTTCTTATTATGAGGATTCTAAAGTTAAAAAGTTTTATGACGCAATATTTGAATTAGGAGCAGTTCCTTTAATTAATCGACCGACAAGAGTATCAATAAACACAACTACTCTTATCGATAATATTATTACAACCGATATCCTTAATAAAAACATACAAAAAGGTATCTTAAAAACTGATATTTCCGATCACTTCCCTATATTTTTAACATTTAACTGTAATTCCGAAACTATGATTAAGACAAGCAAAAAAATTAGACTGCGTCATATTAACAAAGACAATATTAATCATTTTAAAGAGCAACTATCATTGCTCCATTGGAAACATATAAACTTTAACGATGACGCAAACTCTATATATGATAATTTTTTCAACACATTATATCCTATCTACGATGCAAATTTTCCATTCATAGAAAAGACAATAAATCCAAAAAAAACATTCAATCCCTGGATTACCAAAGATTTTAAAAAATCATCGAAGATCAAGCAGAAACTGTATATAAAGTATTTAAAAACAAAGTCCCCAGAAAATGAAAAAATATACAAAGATTATAAATATCAGTTTGAAAAAACTCGAAAAAATTTGAAAAAAATTACTACTCTAGCTTAATCGATAGGGGAAAGCAGGTAGGATTCGTACACTTTTTACTCTAAGTCATTTTAAAGCAAAACCAATAGCGATTTTAATAAACTTTCAATGCTGATGAATTATCTAGATATCTGGCTTCAATAATTTTTTAGGTCGGTATTGGTACAAAGTAAAATGGCAAAGCTATAACGATTCTCCCAGAAAATGGAAATCGTACGAAAGCACCCCACGCGCGGGGTAGCTTCGTACATAGAGTAGGGTACATTCGTACATAACTATTTATAGGAAAACGAACATTTATAACGATTAAAATTGAAACAGAATAAACTTTTAACTTATTAATAATCAACAATATATTATTTTACAAATATCGTTTTACATAACGGATCTATTATTGCACATTTAGCATTGTAAAATTTTTTTTAAATATGAATATATTGGCTGTTCTTGCTGTAGAAGCACATTTGGGTGGCGGCAATACACATACCACGTCTGATAAGTAAACCGTCCCTTCGTCTTTGTTATTAGGAAAAACAAATTTCCAAGTACCCGGCTTCTTTCTCATAAATGAAACTTTGTATTCCATGGGGTTGTACCTGGTTACAACCTGCCCAATATAATGTACAACGGTCTTTTTCTGATCAAATTTCACTAACACAAATGTTTTTTCTTTAATATCTTCCTGCTTAACCGGAAATTCGTTTTCAATATCAGATGAAGAACTTGTCATCTCTTTAAAGGGTGAATAAGAACTTTCACTTAAACTTATATCAGTTTCATCTTCGCTTTCAGTCTCTATTGTTTTTTTTTGTTTCTTTGGTTTGGTTTTTATATTTGTTTTCCTTTCTTCTTTTTTTTAGGTCCGTTCCTGTTGGCTTTAGGGTACGGTCGAATAATTTCTGGAGTTATTAATCCCACAGATAATGTAGATGGTAATGTTATGTTTTCTACTATTTCTGGAGTTACTAATCCCACAGAAGATGTAGGTGGCAATACAGGAAGCGCACTTATCAAATTTTGTTGAGTAAGAATTATTTCTTCAGGTGTGATTTGTTGTGTGACTGTGACTGCTGAAGAATCGGAATGGTATACTTGCACAGCAGCAAATTCTTCGTCACTGAAATTTAATTTATTAAATGGCCATATTCCAGTCTTTTCAAAAGCATTTGAAATATTTTTGCTATTAAATGATTCAAAATAGGCAATTTTGACCAGTTTCGGAATATTGTATATATTAAGGGTTTTTCCTGGATTATTTACATGCCAATCATTAAATGCTACCTTTAGCTTGGCCTTAAAAGGCCCAAATACTCCCACATCTAAAGGCTGGAGACGGTGAGTTGTGTGAGGAGGAAAAGACAAATAAATAATGCCATTACTACGAGCATAGTCCACTGCTTCTATTGTCACATGGCTTTCATGATTGTCGACGAGGAGCAGAATAGGGTTCTCTTTAGAGCAACATGTTTTTAATTTAATGTGTTTTAAGACTTCTAAAAATATACTAGAATTAATCCATCCACTCTTAGTAGCCATTCCTAGGCTGCCTTCTGGACCACCCTCCATAAAGTGATCCTTAAAATGCACTCTGGGAAAGATAAATAACGGTGGTATTGTGTTACCACTTGCTGATATAATTCCCCCAAATGTTACTAGTTCTCCCCTTTCAGCCGAAACAAGCTGACCAATTTGTTTTAGGTTTTTTTGTGTCAACACTTTTGGCGTAGTCATTACTGTAGACACCCCTGACTCATCAAAATTATAAATTCTATCTGCAAGCAATGTATATTTTCTCAAAATCTTTTCTAGGTTTGCATAGAAATCAGTAACGGCTGTCTTGTTGAATCCAAATGAACGTGCTGCGCTGGTGCTTTCAGGCTTCCTTAGACTTAAATTTGTATGACGTCTACGGTAACTGTCAAGCCATTCTTTTCCAGCCATTTTGTTATGATTCCAGCTAGGTGGATATTTTAGTTGATTTACATTAGCATATTCGTATGCCAGTCTTCGAACTTGTACCATTGTCAACCCATAATGCATTTTAGAACATTTCACTATGTATTTGTTCAATAGAGTCTCTTCTTCGGCAGTAAACACTTGGTTCGATGTAAACTTGGAACTAAACACACGCGACAGAGTGTTGTTAGCAGCTTTTTTATGGGAGTTAATTAGGCGACTTTGAAGTGTTGTTGGTTTGATCCCATATTTTTGTGCGGACATCCTAATAGATAAAGTCTTACGTAAAACATCGTTCATCGCAGACTTCATTGCTTTTTCGTCTACCTCTTTCGTTCTAGTCTCTTTTTTTATGTATATTCGCGGCATTATCCTAAAATAATAATAATGTTATGAAACAAATTTTCCAAATTCACTTGGGGAGGATTCGTACAGCACGAATCCTCCCCACAAATAACTGTACGAATGTACCCCAAACAAAAAAATCAACTTATAAACTCAAAATAAAAATAATGGTTTAGGTTAGCACAAAAGTTGATGTTTACATATCAATTTTAGGCATTTATTTAACAGCATAGTAAATCATATTGACAACTTTAGCAATACTTATTACAAATATATGTTTTCAAAGATAGTAAGTAAAATTACTTTTGTTGTGTGAAAACGCTTATTGACTTGCCCCGATGAAGGTTTCTGATGCACTGCTACGGCGTATAGTTTTTTTTAATTAAACATAAGCGGTCCTTACGCACACAATAATACAAACTTGTCAACACCTATAATTTGGTAGATATGACCACTGTACGAATGCTCCTGGTGTACGAATCCTACCTGCTCTCCCCTAAGTATAAAA